GGCAGGCGTGCACCCCCAAATTAAACAGGACTGGAGGGGCTCTGCGGGGACAGCAGCTGAGACAAGCAGGTAGAGGCATAAAGTAGGGACGTAGGAACACAACCGACGGGGTACCAACTAGCAGTAAAGCGGGGGCTGGGTGTAAACGGTCACGCTGGAGTGGCCCAGAGCCACTAAGGGCAGCAGACAGACCGAGAGCCTGGGCTGGGCCAGCGTGCCCTGGTGGGAAGGCCTCTTCATCCAGCTCTCTTTCTGGGATATGCAAAAGACATGCAAATCAGCATGCAAATGCTAGCAGGACAGAGAGGCCCGAGGAAGCGCGGGGCGCTGGCCGGGAGACAGCTCCAGGGTCAGGGGTCACGCACCGAGGCCCCCACTGCAGAGGCAGGCGTGGGTTCGCGGCGCGGGCTTGGCCGGGTGGCTGTCCAGGATCTGTTGCACCAACTGCTCCACAGAGAACTCCTCTGTCCCGCCCCCACAGCTCCACTTGATGCCATGAACTGGAAGAGTGTTGGGGTGGCGGGTGCTGGGGGAATCTCACAGGACAGGCCCCGAGACTCCCGGCCAGCAGCCTCAAAGCTCGCAAACCTCCTTCGGCCCCTTCTCCGCAATGGCGAGAGCTCAGAACATGCCAGAATCCTCGCGCCCCCTCAGGAAAGCACCCCCTGGCTCGCAGGGAGCTGCTCACCCCACGCGGGGGGTACAGACCTCCCCCCGCCCCCCCCCCGGGAGGCGCCTGTCTCCTCGCCCCCTGGGAGCGCCTTACACATGGGCTTCAGCTGCCCCAGCAGCTCCTCCCGGGACCACTTGAGCCACTCGCGACGGTCGCTGCTGACGGAACAAAAGATGGGGCTGCAGCCCTTCCCACAATCCTCCAGGGCTGGGACGTTCAGGTAGTGCACAAGCACGATGTCAGGGTTCTGAGAGCACAGGGGCACACACAGAGCGCCGTGGGGAGCCCGCTCTCCTCCCAGGCCTGGCGCCCTCCATCCCTCACCCCTCTGCCCTCTTCCCAGGCTCCTCCTCCAACTCAGGACCCAGTGCGTCATCTCAGACCCCACCTCCCTCAAAGAGCCGGGAAGCCCCCGGCCCCTTACCTGCAGCAGCCAGTAACAGCGCCGATGGAATGTGGGGACGATGGAAGAGTGAACGTAGCAGCCGTACAGACACTGCCAGGAGACAGGCTGGGGTGGGGGGAGGGCTAGTCTGCTCCCCAACTCTTCCTCTGTTCAGTCCCTTTGCAGGAATCCAATCTTTCCACCAGTTCCTCGTCAGCCCTCGCCCACCCCCGCCTACTCCCCATCCCGGGACCCCGCGCCACAGGGACACTGGGGGGGCCTTACAAGGCGGGGCCGACGGGACATACAGGAGGGAGGGCAGGGGGAGGGCATCTGAGATGAGGAGCAGTGATTCGAGGGAGGGAAACCGTGCTCAGGGGTTCAGGCCTTGGACCCCTGAGGGGAACAGGCCTGAGCGGCCTCGGGGGGAGCCTGAGTCCTAGAGAGCCGGGTCACGGAGGGACGTGGGAGGCGGTGCGTGGGCTGAGCCACAGCAGTGAGAAGGGGAGTGGCCGGGAGGGTGGGAGGAGGCGGGCCGGAGCCCCACTGAGGACGCAGGAGGGCGGCCAGGGCTGCCGGCTGGACACCTGCCTCACCTCCATGCCCTGGACCTTCAGCTTCATGTGGTCCTCTCGAGTGGTCTTCCCATCCTTCCGCTTCTTCCACAGGTACCCATCCTTCCGGTACTTCACCTTCTTGCGGTTGTAGAGGATGATGGAGCCGTTCTGAGGCCTGACGAGGGGAGGGCTGGCCTTGAGTTCTACGGCGGGAATCCAGGAGCCCAGCCGCTGCCCGCCTTCACGAACCCGCTCACCTTGTCTTTGGAGCACAGGACAGCCACTCGTCATGCTTCTCAAAGGTGATCAAGTAGGATGCGATCTCCTGTAGGACAAGGGGCACTCAGCTGGGGGTCCCCGTGTAGACTCTGGGGCTGGCCTCCTGCTCCGCTGAGCTCCGGCGGCTACTGGAGGCTCCCAGCAAGGACCGCTGCCCTCCTGGGTCCCAGGCTCCATCTCAGACCCAGGTCTGATCTCTCCTTCCCTCCTCCTCAGCCAGGGCCAAGTCGAAACTCTCCACCCTCCGTGCTTCGTGCCGCCTCTGACTTCACTTTCCAAATCCCATTTGTGCCACTTCCTGACTCAGAAAACCTCAATGGCTTGACACTGCCAGGAATTCCGAATTCCTCAGCCTGACTCCGAGTTTCTCTCAGACCAGGGATAAAACCGCTCCCGCCATTTACCTATACTCCACCTACCATCCCTGCCAGACCAGCCATGGGTTCTCCACTGAACGTGCCCTGAGCTCCTGAATGTTAGTGACCCCCCCAGGCCTGAACGCCGTGCACCCATTTCTCTGAGCCTGGACACCCTAAGTCATCCCACAGACCACATCCCTTCCCAGATCTCCACCAAGCCCCGCTCCCTGCCCTGGCCCTTCCTGCATTTACAGCAATCACACACGCATGTGTCCTCTTGCTGACAATTCTCATCTAATGAAATAATCAAGCGCTGGGTACACACGTAGCACTGTGTGTGCATGTGGGGAGCGGGGAGGACACAGAAGGTGTGTAACATGAGGACCGTGCCTCCAGAAGGAGCCAGCGTCTCCCGGTGGTTAAAAGCAGAGGCTCCAGACTTAAATCAACTACACGAGGTAGACCCGTTTCCTTCTCTATGGCACGGGGAGAACAACAGTGTCCGCTCCGCAGGGCCATTAAAGGACTCAGGGAGGTAACTGAGGTCAGGTGCTGAGCACAGCGCTCGGTTTGTAAGAAATATTCTGCTGCTGCTTGCTATTGTTTTTCCCCAGGGTGGATGTGCCCAGGAGTGAGCGCCTATAAGATGCAAGTCTCTACACCTCCTCTGTGGCCCCCAAAGAGCTTAGAGCAGTGCTCTGCACTTAGGAAGACCCCCATCCGCCATCCTCCAACCCACCTTGCCAGGCCCTACCCCCCAAGGCTCCCTGGAAAACCTCATTTGTATTCCACCGAAGCCGCTCTGGTGGCAGCAGCGGACAGCGAGGAAGACACTCCAGCAGCTTCTTGGGGAGAAAGATTTTCAGGTGGTGGTTGTTCTCTAGAGGGAATCAGAAGGGAGGGTTCAGTGTGCTGCCTCCGACATGTCCGACAGCCCAGGACAAAGGGGCTGAATCCAAAGCACTGGGTGGGGGGAGGGGGTGCTGAACCATGACAAGGGGAGCAGGGACGCAAGAACTCAAGGGTCACCACAGCCGGGAGAAAGAAGGGCTGGCAACCTGGGCTGTGAACTCACCGGCAACCTCGGTGGTGTCCTTGGTATTCATGGTGAGGGCTCCAGGGGGCAAGGTCACCCCCGGCCTGAGGGGCCGGGGGGAGGGGGAGTCTGTGCTGGGAAGGGAGAGAACAAGGTCATGGCAGAAGCCCCCCCACATTGACCCAGGATGAGGAGGAGGAGCTGGGAGAGGGGTGTGGAACTGTGTCCTGGTAGCCGGGAAAGATGAGGAGGCAGGGGGAAGGGGCCAGACTGAGATTTGAGTAGAGCTGGGCATGGAGGAGAGGGAGAATCCAGACCCGGTGCCAGGAACCAGCAGGGTGGGGAGACACCACCGACAGAGTCATCAGGAAGAGACGAGCGGGCGGGGGAGGGGGAGGCTGGCAGGGCTGGCGTTTCCCAGGCCCTACAGCAGGGGCTCTCTGTGGAAGCTGGGGCTACGGTGGGGTCAGGGCCTGGGGGCTGGCACTTCGGGGACCTGGTCCTTGGAGGACGGTTCGGCAAATGGGAGCCTAGATGCTGGGGGGAGGGCTGGAGACCTAAGTCCGCCGGAGAGCTGGGCCTTAACAAGACACACCCTGGGTTCCTTCTCGATTTGATATTTGCAAGGGGAAGGGCATATCTGACGACTGATCGTAACCTCCTCCCTCCCCTCCAGGTCGGATCTGGGCCAGGTACCCAGGCCTCGGCTTCCCACCCCCAGGACGACCCATCCTCCACCCTGAGGCTCCCGGCCCTCCCCGCCCCTCCTCCACCAGCGCTCTCCCCAAATGCCTCCGCTTCCCGGGGCCTCCAGGCCCACCGTACCCCATCTACCGCTCTGGCTCCAGCCTGAGCCCCCACCCTCCCGAGGGAACAGATGGAAGCTGGAGGATGCTCTCAGCGCGGGCTCCGGGCGGCGGGCTCCGCCAGGTGTCCGCGGTGGAGAGGGGAGGAGGCCCGTCCGCGCTAGCTGTGTGCAGGGCAGCTGGTCGGGGTAAGGACTCCGCCCCAGGGCGCAGGTGCGCAGTCCCGGCCCGGCCGCCTGCCAGGGCGCCGAGCGGCCCCGGGCGGGGGTCCCCGGAGAAGCCCCGACGTGGGAGGGTCCGCCGCCCGCCCGCACGCTGGGGCGCTCCGGAGACGACGCGGGGCAGAGCCCGCGGGCGCACGGCGGCGAGGGCCGGGCCGGGGGCCGGGGCGCGGGGTCCCCCGGCGGTGCCGGCGCCGCAGGTCCGCCGCGGGGCCCGGCGCGTTGCGGCGCCCCCTGGCGCGGGGGAGGAGGACGGGAGCCGGCTTGGGGGCGAGCCGGGAGGAGGGGCGGGGGTCCCCGCGCAGCGCGCCCGCCGCCTGGCCCCGTAGCGGCGCCCCCTGGCGCGGGGGCGGAGAGGCGGGCGAGAGGCCCCGGCGCTTACCTCCCGGGGTCCCGCGGGTGACGGCGGCAGCGGCCATTCTACCCCACACCGACCCCCCCCCCGGCGCCCGCTGACAGCGGCGTCCGACGTCACTGCGCACGGGGCGGGGCCTCCCCGTTAAGGGGATGGGGGGCGGCCGCGCAGCCCGGGGCGGCGGCCGCGGGGCGGGCCGGGGGCAGGCCTGCGGGGTCCGGCGGGACCCAGCCCGGCTTCGCTTTAGCTGGTCCTGCAGGAGGGGACGGCGCCCTCCCTCCCCACGAGCCTCCCCATCACCGCTCCCCGGGCAGAAAGACACTCCGGGCTCGACTTGCTTTGCTTTTTAATGTCAGAACAGAGGCCGGGGATCGGGCCTGGCGGGGCGGGGGGGGCCGGTGGGCAGCCGGCCCCGGGGAGCCCCGCGAGGAGCGGGTTGACCAGGGAGGCCAAGGGGGCTGTTAGCGCCCAGTGCTGGGGGTGGGGGCAGCTGGGAGAGGCTGAGGAGGGGGACACGCCTCGCTGTCACAAGTGGGGGAGGCTCCAGGGCCGCCAACCAGGCTGGGGCCCTGGGGGCGGGGGCAGCGGGCGGCATCGGGGGCATGGGGTCCGTCCTCACTCCTCAGACTGCACCTCCATCCCCCAGGGCTTGCAGAGGAGCTTCCTGCTGGCTGTGACAGCGCTGAAGGAGGCCAGGGAGCCCAGCCGCCTGGGGAGGCAAGACCCCCCCCCGCGGCCCAGGGGGCTCCAGGGAGACCAGAGCAGCTGTAAGGATGAGAACGGGAAGGGCGGTCTCTCCGGATTTCCTAGCCCCCAAGCCCAGGCACCCCCCCAGCCTCTCTGTGTTTTGTTCCTCTCCAGGCGTGCCACCCAGCCTGGGGCTCCGGCCTCCCGCTGTCCCTCCTCGCAAGACCAGGGGGCCCCCGCACCCTCCTCCACCCCACCAGCTTCCCGCAGCAGACCTGGGGCCGGCCAGCCGTGAGAGGGTGGCCGTCTTCCTGTGGGTAGGCCGCCCTGTCCTCTTCCGGACCCCGGTATGCGGTGGCACTGGGGACTCCACGGTGGTCATCGGCTAGTGCCAGGGGCTCAGATGCAGCCCCAGAGCTGCCCCACTGGGCCTTCTTCTGTCTGTGGTGATGTGAGGCTTAGGAACGCGGGGCCTGGAGGCCAGGCTTCCTGTCTCTCCGCTCTTCACCTCTCTGCCCTGAAATACTTCCTGCTGGGACCCAGGGGTGTTATCACTGGACTTCCAACCGTCCGTCCCCAGCTTCCTTGCCCCTGCAGACTGGAGCACCCTCAGTCCGGGGCCTCAGACGTGACCCGTGGCTACCCACGACCCTCCAGTTCTGTGGACGGCTTTCTTGTCCTCAGTGACCCTGTTTCCACCGCTTGCAGCTCCTGTGGTTCATCCTCCACCCCCAGTTCCCGTCTCTGTACAGCCCCCAGTTCCTTCAAAGCTCTCAACCCCTTCCTTAGTTCAAACCCTCCTGCCCCCAAACCCTGCTTGGCTCCCAGAGCCCAGATGTCTCTCTCCTTACTCATTGATGAGTCTCTGTCGCCTCCTTAGATCCTCCAGGTGATAAGTGACTGCCTTCACCCGGGCTGGGACGCCCGCAGGTCCCTGCTGCATTCCTGCCAAACGTGGTCTCCTTCTCTTTCTTCTGCAAAGCACCTCTGGTGGTGGGAGCCCCTCCAGGGTGTACAGGCCAGGCTGGGAGCATCCAGTGGCTCTCTGTGCCCGAGAAGGGGGGGAAAGGGGCCAGAGGGCAGAACTGGGCCTCTCAAGGGAGGGCTTGGACTAAAACAGGGAGTCAGGGGTCTTGGGAAGCCCAGATCATGGAAACAGGGTGACTGATGCAGAGAAAGGCGGGTGTGGTCCGTGCCGGTGGACAGCAGAGGGAAGAGGTGGTAAGTTTAGCTGAGGATAGGATAGCAGCGGGTATGATTTTAACCAAGGAGTGCCGAAGGGCACAACGTTCGTCATACCAGCAGGGGTGGGGTGTACTGTTCTTCCGTCCAGGTGGGGCTGTAAAGCACAAAAGGAGAGCTATGTGCAGAGGACACCCCCACCTGTAATTGTTTCTTGGCCCGCGTCTCCCAAGCACCTGTCCACCCGGCAGTAGGAGCTACGGTGTCCATCGGCCAGGGGTCCCCAGACGAGGGCTTATTGCTGTAAGGCTTAGTGCAAAACTCCACAGTCTTACTTCCCTCCCCTTTTCTCTGTGTCTACCCACCTGGGCCTTTGGCTAAGGTTCTTCCAGAAAAGGGCTCCGGATCGCTGGGGCGGCAGTCCAAGGCTCTGGGAAGCCAAGCCAGGGGGTGCCGAGCGGCGGACCACTCTGGAACACCTAAGAGGACAAGGGAGGCTTGGGGCTGGCTCACCCCTCGCAGCATCCGCTCGCTCCAGGGATTCAGGGGTCCCGTCTTTCCGTGGGACCCTCCGGCCACGTGCTCTCCTAGCCGTTTCCGCTGAGGAGGTAGTGAGATCTCTGCTTTGCGAGACTGGAGACTGCAGTTGTTTGAGCCTCGGATCTCAGGCCAAATCTCAAACGTCTACGCCCAGCAACCAGAGAACACCGCATTCAGCTGTTACAGAGGAAGGCCCCAGCGGCTCCGCTGATGTGACAGGCAGGTTCCGGCTGGTCAGTGCAAGGGCCCAGCGGAGCAGAACCTCCGTTCACTCCTGCTTTGTCTCCCCTAACTCAGATAAACTGCTATCCTTCTAAGTAGCAAGGGGTGTGCAGAGGGGTTTGAGAACAGGGCCCAGCACTTCCAAAGTCCCCAGACTACATGCAGACTGGCCTCCTGCTCTCCAGGGGAGTGTCCTAGGGGTTGGCCTGCATTCTCTCTCTTCTCGTCTCCACCTCCCCTTATGGGATCTCCCCCAGGCCCGTGACTTTAAATACTACCAGTGTGCTACGGACTCCCAGATCCCTATCCTCGCCTGGACTCCACACATGGAGTCCACATCTCCTCCCCGGCCTTCCCCACCTCCCGGGAAGGCCCCCCAGATGCCCAGCTGCTAGAACCCACAAACCTGGTATGCCTCACTTTCCCTCAACTCCCATATCCAGTCTATCAGCAAGTCGTGTCAGCGCTACATCGAAAATATACCCAGGTTTTACTTAAAATGAGAAAGTTAAAAAATAAAGGTTCACTTAAACTAAAAAAAGGCGGGGGGCGCTTGGCTGGCTCACTGGGGAGAGCATGCCACCCTTGATCTCAGGGTTGTGAGTTCAAGCCCCATGCTGGGCAGTGTGGAGCTCCTTGCATTAAAAAAAAAAAAAAAATTTTTTTTTTTGATTTTTAAAAAAAGTTTCACTTAAACTTTAAAAAGATAAAAAATAAAATAAAATACCCCCGATTTGACCACTCCTCAGCCTTTCCACTTCCACCGCCACTCTTCGGCTCATCTACCCCGGCCCGGACTACTGCAGTGGGTTCCTCCCGCTCTCCCTGCTTCCACCCTCCTAACCCCCAATCATCTCTTCTGCCCGGAGCAGAGTGAGTTACCCTTTAAACATGGTTGTGTGAAATGACAGACAGATTGAGATTTACTTCAAAATAATCTGAGGAGGAGGAGGAGGCTGGACGGTCGCACAGATGAAATGATCGTCCCTGGAATGATAATTTTTGAAGATGCCGGCAAGGGCACACTGGCTTCATGATGGGTATTTTCTCTACTTCGGTATTTGTTTGACATTTTTCACAATAAAGAAATTGGGGAGAAAGAAAAAAGTCTGCTCATGCCGTTTCCCTGCTGAAAACCTTCCACTGATCCCCACTGCCCTTAGGATAAAATCCAAACCCTTTTCAGTGGCTTGGAAGGTCCCGTGTGAGCTGGCTTCTGCCTGACTGTCCGACCCTACTCTCTACGTTTCCCTTGATCGTGACGTTTCAGTTTCACTGGCCTGCTTCCTGGTCCTACAAGATACTGCGCTTATTTCTTTGTTGGGGCTTACCACCCCCTCACACGCCCCCGCCCCAACCCGGGCTGTTATCAGACCGGCTGCTTCTCAGTTTTCCAGATCTCAGTTCAAACTCACCTCCCCAGAATGGTCTTCCACAATCACCCTATCCAAACCTGTGTCTCCAGAACCTTCCATTTTGCATTACATTACGCTCGTCTTTTATTTTTCTATGATACTTCCAACTGAAATTATATTTACGTTTGGACCTTCTGTCTCCTCCCTCCAGAAAATAAGTTCTGTTTATCTCTATCCCTTATCTAACTGTTGAATCCTCGGTGCCCAATATCACGTCCAGAACGCTGTAGTTCTGGACAAAAACTATTTGCGGAACAACTTAACGAATCATCGGTCCTCTGAGACCAGGCACTGAGCTTCTTGTTCCTTATTTGCGACTCCTGTCGGGGAAGGAGCCAGGCGTGCAGGCTTCCCTCCACCCCATCCCCACTGGGTGGGGAGGACTCACTTGGCAAAGGGGATGAGGTGGTCTCCATTTTCCTGCACGACTGGACTGGGCTGGGTGGCCGGACCCAGTCTCCTCATTGGTGCTGGGAGGATAATGGAAAATGAATCATTCACTCACGCCCCGGCCGAAGGGACGAGACCAGCCGAAGACCTAGCGATCGGGAAGAGGGTCTGTGGTTCACGAAAAAGGAAGGAGAGCTTCAGGGGCGTTTCTAGTGCTGGGCATGTTTAGGAGCTGACCACACACACAGTTTAAAGGCAGCGAGCACGGGGAAGGTGGACGTTAAAGATAAATCAGGAAATTAATTTCCCGGAGCCAAACGCGCAGAGTCAGCGAGACCTACAGACGGTGGCTTGGGACGGTGGCAGGACAGGCGGGCGGAGACTGGTAGGGCAGAGGGGCTTGGGGGTCGTCGGTGCAGACCGCCGGTTGGGCGCCCACAGCTGAGCGCTGGTAAATGGTCCGGTGTGAGGGCCCACGACAGTCACACGGGGCAGGGCAGAGCGGTCCCCGCCGGCTCCGGGCAGGGAGCGGAGGAGGGGGCGGTCGGGACTGCGTGCGGGAACCGGGGGGCAGGCTCGGGGGCGGCCGGGCGCAGAGAGCAGGCGAGGACACGCCAGAGGAGGGGGTCTGCGCGGGGGGCCCCGGCCCCGGGGCGGGTAGGCCGAGCTCAGGGGCTCCAAGCGGGCGCTCCCGCTCCCCGCTCTCTCCGGCCCGGGAGGTGGCCCAGGCCCTGCGCGGCCACCTGAGCGCGCCAGCGCGCGGGGCGGGGGTCCCGGGCCGGAGAGAGCGGGGAGCGGCGGCCTGAGGGCGGAGCCCGGCGAGGCGGAGGCCCGGCCCGGGTGTCGGGGGCAGGCCGGGCCCGAGACGGCGCCCAGGCTCCGGCCGGGCTTGCGCCACCTGCGGGCCGGGCCGGGGAGCGGACGGGAGCGCACAGCGCCGCCGCCCGCGCCAGGGCCCCGCACCTGAGGCGGCGGCGGCGCGGCGGGTTCTAGAACGCCAGGCCGGGCGCGGAGGGCAGAGGCGCTGACGGGAGCGCAGCGGCGGAGCCGGCGCGCCGCGCACCCGGGGGCGGGGCCGGGGCGGGGCCGGGGCGGGGCCCACCCTGGGCGGGGCGCGACGCGACGGGCGGCTCCGCCCCTGGGCGCGCCTCCGACGGCGGCGACGTGCGCGGGTCCGGGGCCTGGGTCCCCTCCAGGGCCCGCCCCCCTGCCCCCCCCC